GGGGAATAGCTGGGATGGCCAAGGGGAAGGCTTGGCAGAATGCTGAGGAGCTGTCTGACATTCAGAGCAGCTCTGCAGTAGCCTAGAGTCCTTAACCAGCCTTTCCTGGTGTGAAAATCCCAGTTCAGTGTGAGCTCACCTGGACTGCTTCATCCTGCAGCTTTGCTGGCTCTGTGTCTCTCAGGATTACTGTCAGGGATAGAGGAAAGTTCCCGCTCTCCTCCATCAGCCACGAGGGATTGGAGGACAGAATTTGGCTTATGTAAAGCTCCTGATGACAGGAAAGCTACTTGAGAGAGAAAAAATTTGTGCTCTACTTGCTTCACTTGGAGGCTGAGTTTCCTTTGACTGCTGAAAGATAACACTAAAGAGCCCTGGGTGCTCCCCACTGTGTCAGCAACACAAACATCAGTCAGAGGCTCCTGCTGCTCCCTGGAGCAGGTCCTTGAACACAGACTGGGCAGGATCTGTCCTGCTGCCTCCTCTGTCAGGGATGGGGAGGGTAGAGGCCAAAATTCACAATTAAAGTGATTTGGACCTGAGCACACAAACAGCACATTGGTAAAATAAGTTCCTTGGGTAGACCAGATCAATCCAACCTCTTTCCTTCCTGGTGAGTCACTGCTTACAGACAGGGCAGTTAGTCTGGGATAAGTGAGAACTGGAAGCCTGCAAAAGACAAGGTTTGCTTCATAGGAAAGTTTTCAAGCTCTATACTTGTCCAAATGTAAAAATCCAGTTGATGAGGAACTGGTTCCTACTTTGCTGAAAAGATTTGAGTGTGTGCTGCGGGGCCATCAACATAATGACAGAAGGAAAAGGCACTTTGATCCCTTCTTGCCCCTGTGAGAGGCAGCAGGAAGGTTTGGGTGCTGCTCTGTCAGGGCACTGGCAGTGACCCCAGCGTGGTGACAGAGGGTTCTTGTGTACAGAGAGCTCTCAGCTGGGCATGACAGGGTGGGAAGCATTGGTCTGTGCCTTGTTTTCACATCAGTCACTTCCAAAAGCTGTTGGAGAAATGCACAGGATGTGTTTTTACTCCCTGGTGCTCCTGTCCCTGTGTTCTGTACTGCTCCAGGAGGTGTGGGTGGGATCCATGTGTGCACTGCTCACGGTTGAGTCTTACTCGTGCTTGGTGATTCCAAGCGTGAAGGAAGAACTTGCTTAGAGGTTCTGAGCTCTGTAGAAGAAAAGAAGATCCCAGTGAAGTGGCTCAGTCACTTAGGGAGGCCTTTTCCCTTCCTAAAAACCTAGAGCAAACGGTGTTAAAGGTAGGGCCTGAATTCCTGCCAAGGGAAATGAGACAGTGGGAGGGGGTGATTCTCTGTCCTCCAGGTGCCACAAGGCGAGTTGGGGCTGGGCACGGATTCCCTGCTGTGCAGTTGGAGTGGTGATTGATGGAATGAGTATCTGCAGGGCTGCAGAGTTTATCGATAGATAAGAGCCGTTCCCATCTCCCTCTGGTCAGATAATGCTCAGCGGTGTTGTCTGTCAGGCTTCGTAGGCTATAAATAGCACTGGACCTTTATGCAACCCTAAGGAGAGGTTCCTTCCATTCCTTCGACTCCTGGTTCCTGTGTTAAAGTGCAATTCACTCTGTAAATACACACATCCCTCGGGTTTTTGTGCATGGTTAACGATGTATTGTGGATATAAAGATTGCCAAACCAGAGCAAGTGTGTCACCTTCTGTTCCACACACAGCCCCGGGGGGTGGGGGACGGTGCCGTGACCTCCCCGGGGCTACCGCGGCCACGGACGGGACCGAGGGGGGACCGG